ATTTTGACTTTGACTGTGTTCCAACAGACTCAAATGTTTTTAATTTCGTAAATTCTGGTGGTACGTAATTAATATTGTAATAAAATGTGCATATTTTTGTGATCATTTCTGTTTCTTCGTTGTGAAAATCAATGACGACTCAACTAATTTCGTAATTTGATTTCCCTCAAAGACGTAATCTGTCACTTGATGAATCAAATTTTTCATTTGCACTCTTTTTCAAGGGGGGTGCTCGGGTAAGCGCCCACCTCTAAAAAATCGTGATTTTCTGAGTTGAGGCCCCTGGGCGCTAACGCAGTCGAGTACGGTAAATATAATCACTGCTTATCACTGTAACAACTAAAAAGGTGATATTTTTAATGCTATCAAATTTCTTGATTCAATGATTTACATGTATATGTATATAACAACTTAAACAGAAACCCCATACTTTTTTTATATAATATACAATTCCAGTTGTATTACTATTAGTATCATAGACTCCTACAATGTGGACATTTTCCCCACATAATTATAGTAACTGCAACATTGCATAGCTGTGCCAACAGAGGGCATCGCTCACTATACCTGCAACATAAATTGTGCAGATTGTACACAACACCACATTACACCACGCAAGACACTTCATGCACATGTAACACACTCATCCAAGTATGAACAGTGTTTTTTTTCTATGTTGAGAAGGAAACACCTGATAGATAGAAGATCCCTCAGCTTGCACCCCAAACCTATGAGCATTTGAAACTAATCAACATATTTAAATTCACCTCCACAAGACAACAGAGCAACAAATCACCAGGCAAACCAGAAAGAACCACAAAGACTCAATTAACATATCACTTATACCCTGCATGCTTTATTTTGTGCAAAACATTTGTTATTTTCAGAAAGTCAAAATTAGATACTTCTTTCCTTACATATAGATTTTATTTTGTGCAAAACATTTGTTATTTTCAGAAAGTTAAAATTAGACACTTTTTTCCATACATATAGATTTATGTTAACAGTGTAGACAGCACAGTGAAGACTACTTCCAAATTATCAGCCAATCAGAAAGGACAAGCAATGAATATTCATAACCTACTGAATTCCGATTGGTTCTCAATTAGTTGTAAATTATGAATATTCGTAAGGTCAGGAATATGCATAAAACTATGAATATTTTTGACAATTTGAATGTAAACATAAATGGATAGTTAAAATATGTCATATTTTTTTAATGAATATGCATGCTGGATTGTAGTAGAATTGACAAAATATGAATTTTGGACTTGGAAAATGCTTGCTGTGTTGATATTTACATAAATGATTGGATAACGGGAATGACAAGATGTTCACATGATACGGATTACAAGGAATGAAAGCAAAATAAATGTCTGTCAAAAAGCGTTATTTGTATCCATACCTGTAGCAATGGGCGTCGTGTTATGACTTTCTATATTAGCGTAACGAGACCAAGGAACAAATATATCGGGAATTACAGGGTACAGAAACACAAGAATGAGAAACAAGTATGAGAAGGAAAAAGGGAACAGGAAATAAAATAAAAAGAAAACTGTAAGTACAATATGCAGGTATAATTAGGATTTTTTATCATGTTAGTAGGTGTACCAATTTCTACCCCAAATATACTTTATCTTGGTAAAACCTTCTTATAATATATGGCTTTGGGATGTACCATTTACTGTGAAAGGGTAGGAAGGTAATGAGGTGGAAAAATGCTGGGGAACCAACATACAGATAAATTAAACATAATAGATCCTGTTCTATGTTGTGCAGACATTACACTGATTCAGCATAGTTACAATAC